CTCATTTTCTAACTCCTCTTTTGTCTTTTCCTCCAAAGCTGTATTCTCCTGGCCGAATCTGCCTCCATTGAGTGTCAGCTCTTTCTCTCCCATACGCTTGTTTGCTTATTCTTATGTTTCTTTTTAGGGTTTGCGAATTATTGGGTTAGGATTTGCTCAAGGTCTGCACCTTCCCTGCTCTGCTCTGCTCTGTTATGGTGTCAGTAAGTACTTTTTAGAGCTTCTGTTCCATTTATATCTCTTAATTTTTGTTTTTTTTCCTTACTTTTTAGGGGTGGAGTGGGGCGGATTGTGCTGTTGGTGAGGGGCCGGTAGGGTGAGGGACTTGTAATGAGTTTATTTTGTTTTGACATTGGATATTTATGGATTTAGGGTGTTTCAGGTCATGGGGGTTTGCCTGTTTTTATAGTCTGTGGGTTTGATTGTGGATGGTGGTGAAACAGTGGTTCTGATGGCTGGGGGTGTGCTTGATTATCCGGTGTTCTTGGTTGGATTGGATCAAGGGAGCCTGACTGATTTGTAAAACTTTTCAGAAATTTTGTTTTTGTGTGAAGTGAAAATGGTGGGAGGTAGGAATTCTCTGAGTTTCTGGTATAAGCGGTTATAGTTTTAAGGAAATTGAAACATGGAATACTTCAGTTATGAGAATCTATGACTATTATTTAGTTTTTTCAGATTTTTGTTTGTCGCTTAATGTGCACGGAAAGCATTTTTTATTTTTTAAATCTTCAAGGCGCATTATTGAATTTGAATTTTATTGCTAGGAACAGAGGACAGTAATATTTGCGTTAATTGATAAAAAAATAAGAAGCGGCTAGGCTTGTCAGAATGTATTTGTAGACAAAACGAGAAATTGAGCAAATTTCAGATATTTGATCCATGCTTTGTCTGTAAACTCTTAATACTGCTCGTCTTTGGCAGCTTATAGTTGTTTTTAATATTTTCAAGAGAGTTTTAAGCACGAATTCAGGTATTTATCTCAGTTTTCTTAAATAACTGATAAATCAACATAAAGATAAGTTATGAATTTTATGTCTTTAAAACCTCTTGACATACTTATCCAAGATATCAACAGAAGAGAATCATATCAAGCCTGTTCTGCATTTAAGCCGTCTTGGAGAGATGCTCTCTTTCTTTGAATTTGCACAATTTATCATGAGCGGCAAAAAATTCATTTTTGATTTACCCTATTTCTTAGCCAATTAGGTAAAATCAATGGACCACAATTATGCATGATCTTAAAGCTTCTTGTTATTGTTTGTGTTGTTCTGCATGACTTTCTATATATTTTTCCTCAAGAGAAAATAGCCTTGAGCATATTGATTAAATTGTCAAAATGACACATTTAATTACTCTTTAGACAATCAATTCTCCACAATATTGAATGATCTCCATTATGTAGTAAACCTTCTATTTATGATTTAGTTAAAGTTCCATTTGCAAATCTATTAAAAAAATAGCCTTTCACATTCACTACATGTTTCAATACTCAGTTGAAGTCTATGTGTCACAATTGACAACAACTTATAACTATAATGATGCATTTATTTGCTTGTTATCAAGATTCTGTTCAGCATAAGTTATTTAAGTTAGTGGTGCTATTTTAACTTCTCAGTGAAGGAGAGTTTTGTTATCCTGAACAATGAATATTTTCCTTAAATAAATGCTGTCTGTTTTAAAGAAACTTGTTTCATACAATTCTTCTTTCAAGCACTGAAGAAAAATGTTTTTTTTGGAATTGTGGTTGGAATATATAAGGTGCATACTGAGGAAGGGGCGGGCATTTATCTACATGGTTTATCCCTTTCATTCTCCAATCATAATCTTATATTTTGATCTATAATTGACATGCTCAACGAGAATGCATTTTTTTTTGTGGGGACAAAATTGCATATTGCAAGCATGTTGTCAGATTGATTTGATTAAAGTGTAGTTTTGATGCACTTTATTTTTTGTGATTTTTTTTTATTGGGAGTGTTGAAAAAAAAAGAATCCAAAATATTTTATTTATTTTCTTATCACTGTTGAGTTTGTGATCTGGGCTTTGTTTGATAAATGTTTTTGCAGCTTCACAAAAATCTATTTGTGATCGACTTTGGTTTTTGTTAGAAACTCTGGGAATCCCATCCTTTGAATCTAAATCTGTCGGTGAATCACACCTCAAGGGAATCAAGTGTAAGAAAAGAGGAAGTGATATGCATATGTGTGTATATATATAGAGAGAGGGAGAGAGAGAGAGAGAAAATAGCGCACAGTAATGACCAGTAATATATCTTGTCTATCTCCCCTCTCATAAGATAATTATCCTATTTATAAGGGAGAGGTAGAAGATAATAATATTATGTTTATGCTCTTGTTTTAATGGGGCTGCTATAGAATATTTTATGTATTTTACATGTATGAGCCTATTGTTCTGCTACCTTATGCCTTGGTCTGTTGAGCTTGTTAGGCTTTGGCTTGGTCGGTTATGCTGAGTCGGCATTGTCGGCTAGCTAAGTTTGATCTGCTTCAGGCCAGTTGAACTGACTCGGTCGGCTATATTTTATTGATCGACTAATCTAGTCTGGCTATCAACCCTCGATCCCTGGTGAGGAATTTCTTTTGGGCTATCGGGCAGAGTGTGAATAGTTATAGCCAGATAGGTAGCTCAATCCTCAACAAGGAGAGCCTGAGAAATGATTAAGATGCCTTGTAGTATAATTAACTCTCGATCCCTGATATGGAGCCTTGGGGCCGTCAGTGGGATGGTCAATGGTATTGAGAAATAAAATTTTTCTTTGGGTTGGATCTACCAACAAGTAGATTGATGCTCATCTTGTTTTAGCCCGATGGGTTTGGACTCGGGTCATTTGGTTGTCTTCGTGACTTGGTTCGCTTTGGCCTTGTTTGTTTTGGCTTAGATGCCTGCATCCAGTTGGATAAGCTAGCCCTTCGTTCTTCTGCCGATGGGCACTCTGAATTGTACTTTCTTTCTTCTGGACTGTTGGATTTCCGCAGGATCAATGCTGACACATTTTTGATGTAAAACATCCTATAAGAGTTAACCCCTCTATGGTTTCATGAATAAGGATACAAAATTTTCTAAACACCAAAAGATTACCTAGTGAGGAGGAAAATTTCTTATGATGCAATGGGTTATTTGTTGTGGGAAATGAGGTGGATATTCATTATCTAAAGCATATAAGCAGAGTTTTAGTAAAAGCTTGGAAATGAATGCTTAACCATTTCCCTATAGCTACCTAAACTCACTGTAGATAGTACCATATGCCAGAATAGAAGCTAAGCATAAGAAAATTGATCCTCAGCAAATTAACATAAAGGAATTATACCTCAGAACGTTTGTTGAAGCTGTTGTTTGGCAAATTGTCTTACATTTCATCCATCCACCATGAGACATTATTATTGGATATTGCTCTTTCTAGTGAGCTGTCCCAGCTAGACATTCTTTTCATTACTAGCGCCTTCTCGGAGAGTTACCCAGTCCACCATTTCAGTTTGTGATATCCACCTTAGGGAAGAAGGCAAAAAAATTGCGTATAATGATGAGTTCTCAATGAAATTACAATCTAAAAAGGAGTCAATTGATGCTTGAAGAGAAGAGATCACACGAAAATGAGTAGAGAGAGGAAAAAATAATGGTCCAAGGGTAATGAGGAAGGAGGAGGAAATGGCTCACGGCAAAACCAGGGAAACAACCTGGGTTAGTGGACCATGTGAAAGCTGCTCAAGATGGAGGAAGCTTGGCAAGTGAGGGAGAGGGAAGAGGAAGGAAAGTGGACAGGGAAATGTAATGCAATGCAATTTTTTTAGTCCTTGGTGATGAGTTTGTTTTGTATTCATCTTTATTTATATTTAAGTTGATTATTGCCATGCTAAACTTCAGTTAGGATTAGTTTAGTATTTTTATATAATTTTGTATATTTTAATAAGGTCCCATTTCTATAAAGAAGAACTAGTGTCTTATAAATCAGCAATCATAATTTATGATGAATTGAAGAAAGGTTTCTTGCGGTCTCCCTCTGCTCGATTCTGTTCCTTTTCTTGCTTATAACCATGAAATTTCTTTCTCTTCTTTCTACCCCATGGCTTATTTCTTATGAAGTATTCATTCATCACTTCTTCAATCCTTATTTTCATTCTATACTAGGTTTTTTTATTTATTTAAACGTGCATTTAATATTTGCCTTATTGCATTTCTTTCTAATTTTAAAGCTTTAAAATTATGATTCTCTATATTATTGTACTATGATTTCAGCGCTGTTCATTTTTCTTGTTTGTTTTGGCATCAGAATCCAAAATTTGAGTTTGTAGATGTTGAACTAATCTTTCTTGCAACTAATTCATTAGAAGTTTTATTCTGTAGGAGCAAAGAATGGATTAAGAGGCAATCTCTGCATGGATCACTCAGAATCTTGTCAAAAGAGGATCTTTGCTACTTTCTACCTTATCCATTTTTCGCATTCATAAATTTCTGTGGGTGATTGCTTCTTCTGCAGTGAAATTTCTTGGAGAAGCAATTAAAGTTGCAGATCATGTCTTCAGTTTAGCAGATCCATACTTGGATTCTTCTTGTGCTGTGCATGCGAGAGGCCATGGATAACTTTCTTAACACGTTGCTGTCATCATCATGGTCTGATATGAATGAATCTGCAAACCGATCATGGGGAGGAGCCATTACCTCTCAAACAGATAGTCTACTTGCGGACTCCATGGAATCATTTCAAGTTGATGAAAAAAACTCAGCCATGCCAATGATTCCATCAAATCACATTATGGGGAATGTCTTGCCGGAAGATTTACCAATCGTCAATGAAAACACATCTTCTATCTTTTCCGATGGAAGTTTGAAATATGGTATTGACAAAGGCCTTTATCTAGCGCGAAGTCATTCATTGAGTCAACAAGCAAATCACAACTCACAACCATCCCATCATATTGATGCTAGTGAAGGCAGCTTCTCGGTACCGGACTCAGTTACATGTAACTCAGCAGGATCCTCAATGCCAAATAGCACGCGAACCATTTCCAGCTCTCTTGAGAAAAGTGGTAAAGAACCACCAACATATGGGCAACCTATTGGAGAAGCACACTCTGTGTCGTCCGTTCCAACTATCTGGCCGTCGTCATATTCAGGCATTTCTTCTTTAAGTGGACAACAAGAAGTAGAAAACTTTAGTTTCCAAGGCATGAAAAATGGTGTTGATTTACTGAGGAAGGTAAGTTCTGCATCTATGGATTTCGGTATGTTGAAGAAGTTTGGTTTGGCTCTGTCTGTGAATTAATCGTTATGTGATCATCTTTTTCTGCATCACATTCAGAGTCGAAATGAACTTGGTTCCAATTTGGTTACTTTTGCAAATTCTCCGCCTCATAGCTTGGTGTTTTCGAGTAATTTTTTACATGTTATCATTTTTCCAATTTAACTCACTAACTCTTATATGATGATCCAGAATACAACTGAGGCGACAAGCCTTCAATTGCCTTCTTTTGCCGGTGGGTCACAAATGTCATTCAGTAAAACAACTGTGATTCAAACCAGTCCCCAGGTTTTTAAACTTTTTTATTGTGTTTTTGTTCTTCAGCGTGTTTTTTTGTTTATTTGCACAGTTTTGGATCTCTTTGGCTTAGTTTATCCACCAGAACTCTCTGTTTTAGTCTTTAGTATCATTAATATCCCTCTTCATGACTTGTATACTTGACATCTGTTTTTGTTTGTTGCAGTCTGAAGTAGCCAATCTCAAGCATCTGTTGGGCCATTCTTCTAACAGTCATCAACCGATTACGCAAACCAATGCTATTGTTTGTAATGTAGCTGCTAAGCCACGAGTTCGAGCGCGGCGTGGTCAAGCTACGGACCCTCATAGTATAGCTGAAAGGGTCAGTAAATTTTTTTATCTTAACTAGAATTATGGCTTTCTTTTGACAAGGAGTTAACCATCGTCTTTTGCTGGATTTGTCTTATAAACCGTGATGTTAGAATATTTGATTTTATTTCTAACATTTTTCTACATTTTTTACTGTTAGAGATAGATTAATGCAATGTTTTGTTTCAATCTTATGCAGCTTAGAAGAGAAAAAATTGCAGAAAGAATGAAGAATCTTCAGGAACTTGTCCCTAACTCTAATAAGGTACCACCTTTAATGACGTGCTGTTACTGTTAACCATTTTGTGAGAATGGCTGAAAAATGTACCTATCTAATGAACGTAATTGTGGATTTACTCAACCCATGCTAAAGATGTAGATGGATGACATGTCATATTTCAATATCATCATGCATTTTTCTTTAGGTCAACAATTTTCTTAATTTATTTGAGAGAATACTTTGATACCAGTTGTAATCTTATCTAAAAAGCTTGATTTAATAAACAAACCACTTAATCATCCACGCTATGTGACGATTGTAAGCTTAAGCTAGTTGCACTCATAGAACACAATCCAACCGTTATATGTTGTTGCCCTAATTGATTTTCGAAACTCATAGTTGATGATTGTGCTCTTCTAGACTATGATTAGGTGTCCATGTAGCAATGAGTGATGGATTTGGAGAGCATTATCCAGCCAATGGCCATTAGGGGTTTTTATCATGGGAGTGCAACCATGATTTTCTCACTGGAACATCATTCAAGTAATGTACCCTCAGAGAGTGAATTTACTAATGAGATAGCATCTAATACTAATTTTCAGGTTCATTACCATCCTATTGAACTTTAGTGTTGGATTTTTTTTTTTTAATAAATGGCACCTCCCTCGCCCTATAAATGGGTGGTTAATCCTAAATCATGTTGCATAACTCAAGGTATATTGCCACAATTTCAAATTAGAGAAATTTACATAGCACACAATTCTTAGGTATTTTTGTATTTCACACCTAAACTTTCATATTTACATAAATAGCCTTTGGTGATTTAAACATATACATGAAAGGTGTATTTCATTTTTAAAAACTGATAATAGTGCTATTTTCTTATGTCATATTAAAGATTTGAGTACTATGCGTGCAAACATGATAGTTTAGGTGTGAGATATGTAAATACATAAGAATTGTGTGTTATATATGCAAATAGCCCTTTAAATTAACAGTGTGTGAACACATGATAATCCATCATATTCTTGCTAATATCACTCGCATGCTTCAAAAACTTATTATTTGGTAAAGGTGTTCTAAAGTTTTGGGCTATCAATTTTTAGATGGGTTCATTGTAGGCTCAATTTAAGTATAACTCCCTGGTAATGCTTTTGACTGACATTGTAGTAAATGCCAACTATGGATTATTTCTATTACCTGAGTATTGTTTGAATGAATCATACATTGGTTTCTTTGATAACTCGTGATTTGATTGAGACTAAATTATCATAAAGTGATCTTTGTGTCATATCTGACAAATATTGGGGATTAGCATGAGATTAGCATGAGGTTGCATGGAATTTCTCTTTCACGGTTCACGCACTGAAATTTCTTTATGCATCTTAGGAAAGAAATTTAAGAAACTTAAATGAAAAATGGGCATCATATTAGTGCATGTAATTTGTTAAAATATGTATTGGGAATTAATGTTTTCAATTTGGTCACGATTGATATTTTAACCTTACGAAATACTTGTGAGATTGGAAAATAGAATGATATATTGCTAAATAGATTCTATTCTTTGATGGTGGTTTTAGATATTTTACAATGATCACAAACATGTTTAATTGCTTTTAACTCTTATTTGCTCAATTTGTTTTATTATGGTTGCCATTTTCTTAATACAAAATGGGGAAGCACAACAACTACAAGCTGCAAGTCAGTGCATATTTCTATTTCAGTAATTTTTAGATTATGACGAAATATTTAATTCATATATCCAAATAATAATATTGTTTAGTAATTATAAAGATAATGTAAACTTTTAACACACTTTAAATAGATTCAACTTCGGATTTAACCCAAAATCAATAAATTTTGACTTGAACTAGAATTAACTAAAATATTTCAATGTCGAACTGAGCTCGATTTTGTTAAACATGTATTCATATCAGTTCTATATACTGCAAGCTAGTATTTTGTTTAAAAAAACTTTTCAAATTGCCTTTAGGGGTGCTTTGTGCTTTGTTATGGCCATATGGTTGCCAAGGTATGGTTCAAGAATAATTTGATTGAGATGCACCATTAAATGTCTACAAAATTGTTTAATTAATGTGGACAAGTTTTATTACTAAATTGGAAGATAGGATAATCTCTACTGAAAATAAATTGCATATTATCTTGTGGAATGATGTTTGATCTAGGATTTTTAAGAATGGCGTACAAAACAATGTTTTTTATTGATTTTTAAACCGTTTAAAATGTGAAATTCTGTAATTACATCTTCTGCCTCATGGCCTACTCCTGCCTTTTAGAACAGTGTTTTTTCATCCCCTCTCCAATCCTTCCTAAATTTCTACTTATATGACTTTGTTTCTCTGAATGCTAAATTTCTCCCTTCTTTTTTCGAAGTTTATCTGCCTTTTTTTATTGGGACATTTACATTTAAACCACCCAATTTTTATGTATTTACATATCAAACATCTAAACTTTATTTTTACATTTATACCATCCAAATCTTTCATATCACATAAAAATTACCACCATTTTAGCTTTTAAAAAGTAAAATACACCTTTTCATGCATAGGTAAGGTGTTATGCATGAAAAAAATTAAAGTATGGGCGCTAGATATATAAATACATTGAAATTGAATGTTATGTATGTAAATCTTTCTTTTTTATTTCAACGTGCTGTTGGTATAGAGGTGCTTTGCATGGAATTACCGTGGCAGACAGGATAGTTACAATCCTCTTAGAAAAATTTATGCCATACTTTCAATCTGATTAATTTTCTTTCCAATTTATATAATAATTTGTCCAATTTCTTCTTAGTTTGATTCCGAGCAGTTTTGGCCTAAATTCTTCGCTTTATGCAGACTGATAAGGCATCGATGCTTGATGAAATCATCGATTATGTAAAATTTCTTCAGCTACAAGTAAAGGTTTGACACATAAATGTTTCTTATTCTAACCTTCATTGTTTGCCTACATAACTAATGCTGAGTGCTATGTTCTTCTTTCTTAATAATATTCCAGGTACTAAGCATGAGTCGGCTCGGCGCAGCTGGTGCGGTTGTACCTCTAATCACAGATGCCCAGGCAGAGGTAGTTGTGCTTTCCCATTTAATTTCTAATATTGTTTTACTAGTGCTGAAAAAATTAGTTCCTTAATAGCTTAAACCCACCACCCTGATCCCAATTGTTATTAGCAGTAAAAACAAAATCATCTGAGTTTACAGGAATTTTTTTAGGGGCATTTACATACACCCCACACAATTCTTATGTAGTTACATGTCTAACACAAACATTCATATTTGCATGCATAACACTAAAACGTTTAACATCACATCAAAAGTAGCACCATCACTATCTTTTTAAAAGTGCAATACTCCTTTTCTTGCATAGATTTATGACACCACAGTGTTACAAGTATAAGGATCAAACTTTAATTCTTAGATATGTAAATACATAAGAACTGTGTGGTATGTACGTAAATTTCCCATTTTGTCAAATTTCATTTGATTTAAAATATAGCTTTTTTATAAATGCCAGAAGAATGGTATATTTGACTTTTAAGTAGCAGTAGTGTTATATTTATCGTGATATTAAAGATTTGAGTCCTGTGTGTGTAACTATAAAAGTTTAGGTGTGAGATATGTAAATACATAAGAATTATGCTTTATGCATATAAATGTCCACATCCTACTCTTTTGAAGCTAAAGCTTATCAAATTATTTACGCAGGATACCGGAAGCTTGCATCTATCACCTATCAGCCAAGGAGCAGACACATTGGAGTCCCAAGATAGTCTTGCCTTCGAGCAAGAGGTTGTGAAACTAATGGAGTCCAGTGTCACCACTGCCATGCAATACCTCCAGAACAAAGGTCTCTGCCTCATGCCGATAGCACTCGCCACCGCCATCTCCAACCCGAAGGGTTCTGCTGCCTCGAACCCCTCGGATCGACGAAAACAAGATTTAAGCGAACGAAATGATCACCTCGACGAGTTGAATCGCTGTAGTGGTTTATCTGCGAAACAGGAGGAGTTCACCCAGTCCATGAGTAATGGGAGGTTGCTTCAATAAGATGATTACAATGCACTAAATAAGGGATCCATACATGACCCAATCATATAAGATAAATTAAATTAGTTCTCATCCTTCATAAACCAACCCTATCCGATTACAAAGGTTGATAGGGTTGGTTATAGTGATACATTTTAATGGATGGTTGTAGATATTCCCAATAATTTAGGGGGATAGTTTGATGAAATTATGAAGGATGAGAACTAGTTTAATTCATTTCATGTGATTGGGGCATCTGTGGATCCCATACTTGGTGCATTGTAATCTACTTATTATTTATTATTTATGTTATTATTGTTATTATTTGTTTCGAATGAATTTCAGATTAAAGATTATTTAGGGACTTTTATGTGGTGCCATTTCCATGATTGTGATATGGAAATCAGCCTCTAGTGATATTAGATTGAGTTGTTTGTTTATGGTGGAGTCTCTCAATCTTTGATGTTTTAGGATTTTTATGTTACAAAGATCAAAGTTGTAGGAGTCTTGACTTGGGGTTAATTGCAATAGGGCTTTATGGTGAAACTCTACAAGAGTAATTAGGATGGGTTTATCTTCCAATATTGAAGCAAAGGTGGTTTGCTTTATATTGACAAAACTCCCACTTTCTACCCTTCATAGCTACTTTAAATACAAAAGATAGCAGCAATTCACGACATGTATGAATAAATTTGTTATAGAACAATTGATTCTTCGTTCAGTTTTGGATCCTCAGAATTTGTAACTTTCTTATTTTTTAAATGTTTTTGTTAGAAGATTTTACGATCAAGAAAAGTTGTAATTAGAAATTTAATTTTAGTTTTTTTTTTAAATTGAAATTCATCGAAATAAAGCATTTCAAAACCTCTCTCTATATATTTTTTATTTTTTTAATGGTTGGGAATATTAAATAAAATCAATCATCTCTCTGTTTATTAATTGAATGATTAATGGACCGTTTGGAGCAGTTTATAAGTGCGGCGATATTTTCAAAACACTGTCTCACTATTTGATTCGTGCGTTTATCGTGTGTTTTTAAAAACTGTGTTTTACCTAATCTATTAAACGCCAACCACAATGTATATATATACACAAAGTCTACCCAAGCCATAAGGAAATAAGATGAAAAGTAGTGACTAGTGATGAGCTCTTCATTCAACTTAAAGCTTTTAAATGCTCCTAAGCCTAGCTAAAAGGAGAGAGAAGACACCAAACATAATTTCCCTTAGAATATGAGGGAATGGAAATAGTTATCCGCGCTATTGTTTTAAAAAAAATATAATTTTTTATGCATAAATTTTTCTAAACAAAATATTTTAGGTGTAAGCATTGAACTTTAAATATTAGATATATAAATATAAAATAACTGTGTAGATTTGTATATATATAAAAAAAAAGATTAAATTGATCTCAACGAAACATTAACGAAATAATAATTTATTAAAATTTAATAAATTAAAATAATATAATTAAATTTTGAAAATTAAACACTTTTTGAAGAAAGGAATTATACGAGTTAGGTGCATTCATTGCCGCATGAACCGCATGCAACTGAGGAAGTCAATCTCGACGATAAATTAATTAGAATGAAAATGAATAGAACACAATCAAACAAAAATTTATTGCTCTTCAATTCTTTTATAAATCGAACTCAAAAAGATTTATTTATGCTTAATCTTATTTGCTTTACAAACAAGCTAAACACGAGCTATTCACAAATGATGAGCATTTTTAAGAGTTCTGTATAGAGACAGTTGAAATTAGCTGCATGGAACTTATCCTAATGATAGATTTAAGCGCAAAGATGTTTGTGGTAGTGAAATGCATGAGCTGCCATTTATCGATTTTATTATAAATAAATAAAAAAATTACAAAAATTAAATATGTGCATGAAAACTACTAATTTGAACAAAATAAATGATCTATTATCAAAACCATTAAAAAATATTACGAAAAATAATGAAATTTAATTCATGTAATAATCAAATCAAGAAGCAAATGAACGGTGCAATTATTGCTTGGGACATTTATATACATGCCGCCACTTGGTTCTTATGTATTTAAAAATCCTGCATTTTTAATATTTATCAATCAAATATTTCATATCAACTCATAAATACCATCATTTTAACTTTTTTAAAAGAAAAATACACATTTTTATTATATAAGATGGTATGTACATAAAAACTAAAAATTATTAATGATTTTCAAAGCTTAGTAAATTTATGAATGCTTTTCAAAGCCTAGTCAACATTCGTTTGGTGAATTTGAGAGGGCAATGGCTTTAGCAACTATTAGGGCTATAAATGAGCCGAGCTTGGGCAAGTTCAGGCTTGACACGTGCTCGGCTCGTTCAAAATTACTAGTGTTCGAAATCGTCTTATATTTGAAACTGGCTCGTGAACAATGTGTTCTTGTTAGGCTTGATTTAAATATTTGTGTTCGTGCTCGACTCGAAATTGACTCATTAAAATTAAACTGAAAAAATAGATGGGAGTGCTGAATTCGAACCTGAACCAAATATATGCAAAACAATGTGCATAACCATCTTACCACAAGAGCAGTTACGACTTAGATATAAATACATAAAATATATTATTATATAAATAATATGTATAATATATTATTATATAAATAATTATCTATATATATATATTTTTATTTCTAGCTAAAACAAGCCGAACACGAGCTAACAACGATTTGTTCGTGTTCAACTCGTTTATAATTCAAGATTTAAAAATTTGTTCGACTTATTTACTTAACGAACGAGCTGAACACGAGTTATTTGAGAACAAACAAGCTTTTTTGACAGCCCTAGTAACTATAAAAAACAAGCAATAAGATTTAGATAATTTCCTTCTTTACCTTGTATTTACTAGCAGGTACATGGAAATGTCGGCTTAAAACTACACTAAAAAAGACCTGAACAACAACTATAACAAATCAGCCCACATATTCACTATTGGGCTTTTATCGAAAGGAAAATTAAAATTAAAAAAAAAAAAAGATAAGACAAAAATTACACATGCCGCGACACAGCTGCGTTAGGATAGCCATTGGCAATTTTTGGAGGTTTAGTCTTGTTGCTGTAATTCGTTAGACTACAATGCGGACATATGTATTCCAAACCATCAGTTTTGGCATAATCCTGTCCAAATTTTTGAAAATTAAAATCATTTCAGAAATAAATAAGAAATTTCGCTCGGGATATATAAATAAATATATGGGGTTTGGCATAAGCAATATTTGACATGATGGGCTCAATTAAATAAGTCGCCATCAATTTTGACTCGACCCAAAAACTCCTAGTAAGGCACCAATTCTTATAAGATATGATAAAATGATGCTCTAATCAAGCTCAGTGGCCACCAGTAGCATAAAACCAAATGTTGTGCTAACAAATTGGGTTTTTTCATAATGCCTTGTATTCAACGAGGGAAAAAGGATTACGAGAGGCTCTACAAAATTTGGGTTATTAAAAACTGGCCCAACACGTCAACTCGAACAAAACTCAGCTCGAAAAACTTGAGGATGGATTGACCCGAGTAGCTTTCTGATTGGGTTCGAGTTAGAAATCATAACAAGTTTAATTTCTCAGGTCAGTTTCAGGTTGACAGGACCTAAAATTGGCTTGCTAACCTGAAATTGACCGAATATGTTAAATAGGTTATATGGGTTGGGTCCAGCTGAACAAACTAAATGCAAGTCGGGTTTGGGTGAGACTTTCTAACTATTTAATTCTATAAAGGAATCTTCTATAATATAGCTTATGCTAAGCGAATTTAAGGTTGAAATTTTATGTTCATACATAACTAAATAAAGTTTTCTTAAATCTAGAATAGATAAAGCTAATCCCTACTTATAGAATTACATTCGGAAGGGGGCTATTCATTAGTTGCCTGACACGCGTAGCACACTCATGTTCAATTTCCTATTTATTTACCAAAATATCAGATTTTCTAGTTATTTAATTTTCGGTTAGGTTCAGGTGGACAAAGCAGCTTCTATAAAAGAATCATCTGTAATATAGCTTATGCTCAGCAAATTTAAGGTAGAAATTTTATATGCATCCATAGCTAAATAGAATTTTCTGAAATCTAGGATAGAGAGAGCTATCCCTAGTTCTCCAACTACTTACGCAAGGGGGCTATTCATTTGTTGCCTGACACACGTGTGGCACACTCATCTTCAATTTTCTAGATACCAAAATATGAATATTTAAAGAAAGTTATGGCATACCTTGAAAGTACCGAGACCTTGCCGTCTATCACATCCAAAGTGAGCCCACTCACCACATAGTCCACAGTTAACCCAATCGCCAGGAGCACTGCTGTTAAAACATGGAAGAAACATACTGCAATCTCAGTTGTGAGTTTACCAACAAAGAACCAGTGCGGAGAAGACTCTTCCTTACAAATTATTAGAAAAGCCACAAAATTCTTATGTATTTACATATCTAACACCCAAAGTTTGATATTTATTTACACTTATAACATCTTGGTATTATAAACTGACGCATGACAAGTGCATTTCACTTTTAAAAATAAAATGATGATGATATTTTTTTATGTGATCATAAAGATTTGAGTGGTAGGAATGTAAATATGAATATTAAAGAGTTAAATATGTAAATTACATAAGAATTGTGTGGTATATATGTAAATGCCCCCAAAATAATAAAATAGAAACATAACAGGCTTCAAAATAAAGAGGAGTACTAACCTATGACACAACAAGCAACATTCTCCATCAACATCATCATGTGCTAATTCGTACTCCAACAAATATGTCTCGTAATGCCTTTTAAGTGTGTTCCCAACGCCCTGTATGAATTGTACAAAAGGAAATACAATCATAAGCCTAAGAATAGGAGGCGTGGAAACCATAAAAATTCATATCGCAATGTGAATCAAATTAAAAGAGAAAAAAAAAGAACTACATTATTTTATAATGATCACACATCTAAATGCCATTAGGTAATAAGACAATATTCTGAGAAGGAACATACTGTCATTCTATTAGTTAATGTGTGGTTGCGCATCTTCGAGAAAACCTGACCTTTCCAATTTATGCCATTCCCAACATAGAAACCTCCTCTTGACACCACCTAAAGCAAGTAGTTAGAAATCATCGCAAAATTAAAATAAATTATTATATTCAGCAACATTCAGAATAATTCCATTAAAAAAATAAAACAATATTGATAAAAAAAAACATGTTTCCTAACCTCTCTATACAAATTGTAGAGATCAAGCCGCTTCGCATTAAGAATAGCATCAGGGAACTCAGACAAACCACCTTGGGGAACGAGTCGGCTGTGCCCCCGAAGAACCAAGAACTGCATCACATCCTTTAGGAACTCTTCCTATGGCATAACAAGAAAAAACGAGGAAAAATATCCCAGACTTAGACAAATCCATATCTAAAACTTTATTTAAAAAAGAAGGAAGATTTACATGCATACCATTTAATTTCTTATATATTTACATATATAATGCTGCCTTATCTATACATCAAAATGTGTATTTCACTTTAAAAAGGTTAAAATAAAAATATTTTTGATGTTATAAGAAAAATGTTAGAAATATAAATACATAAAAACTAGGTGGTATGCATGAAAATGACCCCCAAAGAAAAAGAATGCAAGAAGTAGTTTACTTCATGGCAAACTTGGATAGGAGCCCGACTACAACCATGCTTCTTCATGGGGAGCGGATTTAGAGGAACTATCAGCTGAGTATGGACGGAACTCGACATCAATTTTCTCTGACTTGAGGGAGCTGCAGGCACAACGTTAGACTTTATAGAAGGGGTGATCGATAAGTTTGGCTTCGCATGAGTTCCGTCATAGGCTTCGGACTCGGGTACTCCCGAAAAAGGAAGCATCTTGTGCTGTCTTAGATGAGGAATCGGTCTCATCGCAGCGAACTTCATCCTCTTCTTTGGATGTGATACAGCCATATTGATCCGCTCCGCTGATCTTTTATCATTGTGATTCCGATTAAATTTCTTATAGATAATTCCATTTGTGCCTACCAACTTTATGGGGTGGATAGGCATTGATTCGGGGTTGTGGTTGGACCTCTCACTGATAAGAAAAGAAGACCATCTTGGCATATGGCTAAGAAAAACATCATCAGTGGATGTGTCCTTCCCATGTCTTGAACAGAAGAAAAGAAGACGATCCGCATCTTCTTTCTCGAAGGAAGCCACCGGAGTCCCTTGAATGCTAGCAATTCCAAGAGAGACGAGGCTACGATAGGAAATCTCGGGTGCGAGATGTCTTAGAACCTGGAGATACAAAATAATAATAATAATAAAATTAAAAAATATAAATAAAAATAAAACAAATGACGGGTGGAGGTCATCCAATGTAATGCACGCACACACGCACAACCTTGAGATACAAAAAAAAAAAGATAATAATAATAAATTTAAAAATTAAAAAAATCAAATGATGGGTGAAGGTCATTCAATATAATACACGCGCACGTCCGCCTGCGCCCGCCCGTGTCCGCATGCGCACACACAAGTTTGATTGGTATAATTTTAACATGTTTTGATTTTTTTTAATAAATTAATTTGTTTTTAAAATAATATAAATCTAAAAAATGTTTCAAGAGTTTTTAAAAACAACTAACTGAATAAAACATATTTTATTTTAAAATTAAAACATCCACACAAAAAAATAAAAATAAAAAATAAAAGTGATCCCAAATGACATCTAATTGAATTGATCTTGAGTTGAATCTAAACTTAGTTCGTAAGTCACCTTCTGGTAAAAGCAAATCAATTGCAATTTCGAGATGAAGAGAATTATAAACTCCAAGCATTTAATTGTTCGCCCAAGGTAAAAGAACATAATGTAGGGAAGGAATTTTCACCCAAAAAATTATAATATGATTGAATTCTTAACCTAGTATGTCAAATTTTTTTGGGGATAACAGCATCAGAATCCAAGATGCTGTCCGAATACAAGAACTTCATAAAATAATAAATCAAATCCCAATAAATTGTTCACAATGCTTCTGAACTTGGCTTACTAAAAAATCATAAAGAGTAAAAATTTCTCCAATAAATTGATATTAAAAATCAGGCAAAAAATCATACCTGGGCAGCCCATGTTGGGACCTTCATGTGAACTTCAAATACAGATGCCCCGCAAGCTGAAACTCAGAGAATCAGGTAACGCTACTTTGCCCTCATCATCATTTGGCGGAGCAAGAACTAGCTGACTCTTTTCAATGAGTTCATTCTTAACGTGACTTTCCAGAAGCTGCATTTTTACAAAAACCAGGTTAAATGTGCAAAATCCAATTATAATTTTTTGAAGCTATTTTAGCTACCAGCTTGTGTCATTGCAAGGATTTGGATCTCAACTTAAAAAGTAGGTTGAATTAAAATGAGATTTGTTACTTTCTTCGGAACTCAATTCATGTGAACTCAGTTCATAAGTTTGTTTGGGGCTGTAATGAGCTTCATTTTTTATCCACCTTCACATTAATTTATTATTACCATAAGCAGAAGTACATTTCTAAACTATCATAACATTTTTCCAATATTATTGAAATTAATATTAAAAAAAAAGAAGCAAAACGGTGATTTTTAAGAAGTTAAGCTTAAAACCTATTTCTACCTTTTTAAGGTGAGCTTCGAAAATGTGAACTCGGTCATAGCCGTAAGAGCACTAATCGTGAAAAAAACCATTATTAAGAGCATGCACCTAATCATTGAAATAAATCTTGGGTATTTACATAGATACATACACACCGCCCAATCCGTATGTCTTACATAACTAACACTTAAATTTTATTTTTTACATTTATGCCATCCAAATCTTTCATATCGTATCAAAAAGAGAACAACTTTAACTTTTAAAAAGCGAAATACTCCTTTTCATACATTGGTAAGATGGCATATATCTAAAAATTAAATTTTAGGTGTAAGATATGTAAATACATAGGAATTGATTGGTATTTTATGTAAATATTCCATAAAACTACGCACTGCTAGAATGTCCAATTTATTTTGCTACAAGTACTTGGATCAGTATTGAGAATGAAATGCATTGAAAAGACAAGAGTGAGATCTATTTGTTTTGGAAGAACTCGCTTCTTGTTAACTCAGCTCCCATGCTCGCTCGAGCTACTACTATCCACCCTCATATTATCTGATTGCTACTTTATTAATATTACAAGTTAAATTAATAATTCTAACCTTTCATTCTATTAATTTAATATTGTTATATTATTATTAAAATTAAAAAAAAATAAGACTTAGCACATAAAATTAAACCCACTTTTCACATTTTCGAAGGTGAGTTTGAAGAATGAAGACTCTGTTGAGTCTTTTTTAACTCGCTTCTGAAAGTGAGATCTAATACTTATTGAAATAAACTGGTCCTAAGAATAAGTACCTGATCGTCAAAACAAGTCTGTGCGCTACCAGACACGAGAAGGGAGATGTGAGCAGAGCTACAAGTAGTGAGATCACAACGCATTGTCACAACCCCACGAGTAAATGTTCCAGCTTGGAGAGGAGGCGGTGTTGCGCTGAGACATTCAATTAAAATCTATCATTCTTTGGATTTTTCATTTTAATAACAACCATAGAAAAAGAAAATAGAAAACAAAAAATCAAACAAAGAAAAGAAACAAATTTCCAAGCAATACATATTGGACCTGAAAATCTAGAGACATACGAGTTTACTAAAGTCTGATAAAATATGGTAAAAACATAAAACATGTGACAAGGTCATTGATTTTAATAGATTGTTAAGTGGTATTACACAATGGTTTCATATGTTCCTCATTGACCATAACATTAGCGGCATTAAAAAAACATTACATTCCAGGGCAAAAAGCCTAAAAAATGCCTTCTAAGGTTAATGAAAATGCGGTGAATCCATCAAGTATACAATAGAAATAGCCATAAATGGGTATTAACGCTCACTTGAACACAACAAACACGCATAAAGAAAAAAAAGCTATAATATCAGTACTCAGCAACTAGTTAGAAAATGTCTACCTAATAATTCAGAGCATGGCAATGATTCCCGCATGCCTTACATACTGGTGAGCACCTAGAGAATGCATTATGGCAAAAAAGTGTTAGAAGTATTGGCATTTTGCCAAAATTTTTTGGCAAAAATCATTTTTTACCAATAAATTCCTAAATCCATCTAGATAGACATTCGTTGTTATAATTTTATATTTCAAACCCACCTACTGAACGTTTAACGGGCAACTCTATCTAAAACACAACTACAAATAACAGTTATTTCCTGGCAAATTTATGTTTTGGACAAAAAAAATTTGAAAACAATCTTATTTATGTTGCCTAACTACCAGTTCATCTCACAACCTGATTAAAAAAAATTATATTGATCAGTTTAGGGAAGGCCCGAAGCATTTCTATCAAATAAAACAATTTAGGTAACTATGCTGCTTATTTATACTGACAAATCAACCGGACCAAAGAAGTCAAATAATAGTTTAGAGTTTAAATCGTATTCATTTAACACCAAAATTGTAAACTTGATCATTTATCATTTCCATCTAAACTCAAAATATACACGAAATATATCAAATTTAACAACCTTTTACAGTTTAATATAGTGAGTTTCAGTTCAGTTGCACTTCACATTATAGCTCAAAGCTTCAGATAACAGAAGGCTTTAACCATACTTACTAGAACTTTCATCCAAATGGCCAATATTTTAAGCTTTGCTATGGCCCACGCATAAAGCAAATTTGTTAAAAAAAAAGGCATCCTGAATAGCAGCAGCAGACCAAGAAACATCATTAACGTGATTGTGATCAAGTAAGCTCTAGGTATGAAAAAAGAAGTCATGTCCTGAGCATTTTCAAGCAATCCTATTGAAAAATAATTGAGCAGAAAAGCTACCTATTTGAGCAGCAAATTCAGGAAGTTCCACACAGCTATATGTTGCATCCATAATAGGGGATGCCCACGCTGTTATGTCCTTTGAAATTGCCGTCAGAGACAAAGAAGGTCTGCCTATCCACTTAACCCAACTTTATCTGCCCCAATACAGATCCTTTATTTTTGTCTCGCCCACTATTTTTAGGGAGTAATTTATGGCACTTTTTGAGACTTGATATCTAACAAAGGTCACAACTTATCAGAACCAATTTTGTAAGAGAAAGGGTTATCAGGGATTTTTTGTCATTCTTTCAAAGAAAAATCCATTAGAAGTCTTTTTAGTACTGTCCTTTCTATTTTGATTCTTACGCTCTATAGCATCACCATTATCTTGGTGTAACTGACATCAATGATTGAGAACAAACAAAGTTCATTTGCAATTTGTAATTAAAATTCCGAGAAATACCTCATCAGTTTACCTCCCTTAGATCCATTCTCAATTAACTATTGATGAAAAAGCTCAGTGGTGTACTTATGCTCAAGTTGTTCTTAGCATTGGCACAATATTGTGTCACTTTCTTGCATCGACCTTCAACATAACCAATTGAGTAGAATTCTCAATATATCAATGGCTTGAACAGCCCCGACGTTACCTCTTGAATGTTATTAATCTTTAGATAGGCATTCCAATATGCATGGCATGATGACCTAACTTACATAGAGTGAATGCAACTGTCATGAATGGCATACAAATACAAGGTAAATCTCCAAGCAGTCAACCTATGCATCGAGCTTATCAACATCAACTGCCCCATCAAATAGAGAAATATTCACTTTGACTTGACGCTTTAAAAGATTGCGCCTTACATGAGTGATGGCCATGTCTCATTTGTTCCTCGTCTCTTTAATAACCTTTTATGTCACTCCAAGTTCAGAAGAGGGCATCCCTTATTTTGATATTATCTTTTGTCTATACCATACATCACAGAATGTTGCTCTGAAATCACTAAAAAAGTCGATAAAATAACAAGAGTCTAGATTGAGTACTTAAAGGTTGCGAGAATTTTTTTGGGTACTCGCTATTCATCCATCAATCAATTAAAAATATTTTGGATCTTTTCTATATTGTAGATGGGTCCCACCAATTGTTTTTGCCTCTTTTGTGTATGGCAATTTTTCTTCTTATATTTTAGTCTTCTTCCACTGTTCGACTGTACAACAAGCTAGTGAGTGGAACCTTAGCTGAAAAATAAGCACTCCTAATCTTTTTGGTTCTGGTCATTAATCAAGTGCTATGTTAAGCAACTGTAATGATGATTACAACAATCAAATTTATTGTTTTCTCCCCTAGATAGCAGCAAAACAACAATCTATTTTTCTGTTCTAGGATTTAAAATAGCAAAAACATTTTGAATTAATAACAGGAACAGAAGGATGCAAACAGTGACAATTGAGATAATTATCACTGTACTACAGTGTGGGGGCACAATTTGTTATAATACCTGACATTTTTTGCTACAATATCAACACTATTTTCTATTGCGACTAACAAAGAAAAAAATTTCCACCAAGGGTTGCTAAGAGGACCAAGACTAGCAATTAGTGACTGTCATGATCAAACTTGGGACTTTAACAATTATGTTTCCTTTAATTTACTCTAATTTCCTAGAACTATTGCATGTGCCATAAGTATACTCAATTAAAAAAAAAAAAATGCAGAACACAATTTGTAAGAAAGCAAGCACATGAAAGATAAGCAAGGAAGGGAAACATGAATACCAAGGTTAAATGTAAGGAAACCCAAAAAAGCTGAAGCCATGATTGTTCATGATATAGACTGAAATGGGGCCCTTACCAATGTTTTGAACGAAAGATTCATGGTTCATTAGTTTGACTGGCGTTGAACCGGATGACATCATAATTAATAAATACAAAAATTAATTAAATACAATCTAATTAATATAATAATAATATAATAATGTAAATATAAATAAATAAATAAAACACTTTTGAGTGGTACTATTCATAAAAAATACTCTCACATAAGGCAGCTGGTCCTATTCCCAATAACTTTTTTAGTATTCCAAAAAAAAGTTAATAAGAATAACTATATAAAGTATAAACTTTCCATTCCCTCTCCCCTCACCATAGCCCCATATCCTCTCTCTCTCTCTCTCTTTATATATATATATATATATGAGACGCTTGGATATTGACGCCTGGATATTGATGTTGTCTTTTGAACTGGGAAGCATGTGGGGAGAGCTGTAACCATTAAAATGACACAGAAGAAAATATATAAAACAATATTTACATTTTTCAAAACATCAAGCCGGTTCTCTGATTAAAAGGTTGAACTGGTGGTTCGACCGGTTCCCGACAATTCGACGACAAAAACGGGCTATGTTCCGGACCGGATCAACCACTAGTTCCCGGTTTTACCGGCCGGTCCGGTTCGGCTTTCTAAACGTTGGTCCTTACAAAAAACTAACCAAACCCAAGAAAGAAAATAGAAATATTGGAAAACACAACCCATTCTCAAAACGATCAACATCAAATACATGCTTTAGCATAAATGGGAAGAAATACATCGATTAGTCATAGGAAGTACCAAATCCCAACCAAATGTGTCCATTAATTAGAAAATTAATAGATCATCCTAAATTTTATTTAGATAGGAAAAGTAACTTGTGAGTTTTACCTAGCTATTAGATAGAAAATTTTAATTAATCCACTAAGTTTGACCACTTAATTAAAATATAAACTATTATCAACAGTTTTAAAAAATAAATCAAGCCACTTTTGGAAAGGAGCAACCACTAAAAAATTAACAAAAAATCATATTTCCACGGCATTTGAGGTAATCTAAACATCTTCTCAAGCTTTAGGAACAGGTGTGCCAAGCCCAAAATTAGGTTTATTTCCATTAGCCAATTGAAATGTTTTATATTGTTACACCATAAATGCAACATTTAATCTCAAGCTACTCGAATAATGCACATGCTCAAACATGGTTAAAATTTTATCTTGATAGTCAAATTAGGATGGCATAAATACTTACAATAAAGTATTTCAACAACCAACCAAAATAACATAATTAATTTAAAGATAAATTAAACATAATTAAATACCATGTTCACATATTATTATTTTATAATATTATAGGTGCCAATCTATATGAGAAGTTTAAGGGTGATTGAAGGCAATCCGGTTAGATGAGATGAGTACTCTTATTTCTAAGTTATAGTAGCATTTTTGGCTTCCTCTAAACCAATTATGCAATTAGTTAGTGATATTTGATTAATGAACTTGATAGGACTTTATTTTCATTTATTTGTTCTTCAATCTTATCAGATATATTGATATGAATGTTTCATGTCTTTTAATATGAAAAATTGTATGCATTAATTATAAGAATTTGTATATTGAATTATATGAAAATGTGAATGATGTAAACTATACAGCGTGATTATATGTGTATGATGAATATAATGAAGTTCACTCCCTTATGATGTTGGTTGGAGAGGCCAATATAGCCATGCCCGTGAATGTTTTCTTATCACCTGAAACAAGCATGAAATTTAAATCATGAACCACTGTGTCAATGAGAAAATATTGATCAATGGTGAGCATATTCCTCTCCATCTTAGGCAATATTAGACATGTTTTTCACCCGTTGTGCCCATTAGGTATGTACCAGCTAGGTGTATACTTAGATGGTGATCATGTGACCGTTGTAAATAATAAGATATAAATATAGATGTCATTGTACTATACTACTGAATATTCTAGACATTACTAAAAGACCATAATTGAATAGTAAAATGTTGATTATTTCTTTACACTAATTAGATATACTTAACTAGCATGCATTTTGTTTCTCTTTTGCCTCTATTACTACAGTTTAAAAGTAAGAGAATTCATTGGCTATTGATATCCAACTTTGCTTTAATTTAGCATTTTCATGTTTAATTTTTTTATTAAAAGATGAGTAATAGAGAAATAAATATATATAAAAGACGAAGTCAACAAATAAAAAAAGTAAATTTATTATTTGTTTAATTTAATTTTTAATCATTAGTGATTCTTTATTTTAGATTTAGAATTAGTAATTAAAGTTAAATTTTATAGTCCAACCATTAGTTCCTGCCTTGTAAATTCTAAGCCCCCGAGCAGAGTTGTGAAAGTTTCCCAGAATGAAAAGTCATTCTTAATCATGAAAATTTTATTAAGTATTAGTGAGGCACTAGTTAAATCAAGTTATGATTCTTTAAATATTTTAAAAATTTTATTAAGTGTGTGGTCAAAATTATTCACATTCAGTTGCCTGATATGAAAGATGCAAACAAAAGGCATTATCAATCTTATTCTGAATTCTATTACAATGCTTTGGCGCTATTGTATATTTTTGAAAGAATTAATTCCATATTGCATGCCTCCATTTTAACATTTTTAGAGCCAAAATATTTTAAAGCTCTATGACTAGAATTATGATAAATTTTTTGGGCAGAAGCAATTATAGAACAACACAAAATTCAGTCATAATTAGATATTTCAAATTTTCTTCATATAACTTCTTACAAAAATAAACAATTGAATTTTCAACTTGATTCAATACTCTCCCAATTAAAAAAATTGCAAATGCACTAGTCTTCATATAACTTCTTAAGTCATTGTTTCAAAGAGTTAAATTCATCATGCAATCGTTCCAGCTGGGGTAAGAAAAAATATTATTTTTTAAATAACAGTTTCATGAAAACCATGTAATGGTATGTTGTAGCCCAAGTCTCTCCTTTTTATCTCCTTACTTAGAGGTGTCAAAAATTAACCTGACACACCAACACGACTCAAACTCGACTAAAAAAATCCAGGTTATGGTTGAACCAAAAATTTTTCGAGTCGGGTTCGGGTCAGAGAATTCAACCGGTTTATTATTCTGGTCGGGTTAGGGTTGAACTCGAAAATTCAATCATGACCCAAAGAAACACGACATTTCGGGTCGGGGTCGGGTTAGTAGGTCAAGCTCGTGTTCGGGTTTTAGTTTTCGACCCTTTTATTATTCGGGTTGGGTTTGGGTTGACCATATTCAGGTCGAGTCATTTTGGGGTAAGGCCCGAATCAGACCTGCTGACTCAAATTGACACCCCTATGCTTACCCATCCAATAAATTTTAACTTGTCCAATTAGTTTTGGTTTTCAAATCTTAATTGATGCTCACCAAATGTCATTTGTTAATCAAAGAAGATATCCATATCCATTATCTAGTTAGAAAAAAAGTCTTAGAATCTCTTCTCCCATTGAATCAAGATGCGTTAGCTTCTAATTTTTGTAATTATATCTTTTATCTGATAAATTTGTCACATATGGATGTCATAATTTCCGTAAGTATACTCCAAACAATGTCAATAATTTTTCTTTCAAAATCAATGCCTTGCCTCCTAACAATATTTTTTTAATGAATTCTTCATTAAGGCAAGATTAATTAGCTGGTTCTCATGGGCAAAGTTGGTTAATTTTCCAATTAATAAGGCTACCATTAACTTGATTTATTTTTGTGCAATATTGCACTTATTTTGTTGCTTGTAATTCCTCCAAATGGTTTTGAAAGATAAATAAAACGCCATTCTAATAATAATTTGCTAATTGGCCTTGATAATTTGCCCCATTTCAGAGTGACATGTTGACAAAACCTAATGCTTTTATACTAATTTGAAGCAAGATGTCATTGACTAACTTTTCTCTAGTTACCCGTGCGGCTTTAGCGCTCTTCATTAGCACTAAATCAATCTAATATCCCTCAAAACACTTGAACTTGTAAGCATAAAACACTTTAAGAAGAAGAGTAGAGAGAAATATTGGAGAAAGGAATAATTCGCTAAGAAAGACAATTACAATCCTTGAATGCTTGGAAGCTTGGATGTTTTCTTAGATGAATACAAATGAGGGGAGGGGCTCTTATTTATAGCCCCCTCCAAGCCTAAGGGAACATTCTAGAATACACTAGATTATTCCAGTTTCTAGAGAGCTCTACACTCCTTTCTTAAGTACATACATAGCCCTAGAACTTCTAGGTTACTCTTGAGTTTATTCTTGGAGCTTTTTAGTCTAACATTCTCCAGAATGTGGTGGAATCTTCTAGAGTCCCTTGGATGTCTCTCTATTTTCTGACCTACTCTAGAAGCTTCAATCCCATGAGGGTCTTGCCAATTTCTAAAATATGGCGGAGCGTGATACTCTCCCCCCACTTAAGCTCGCAATGCCCTCATTGCGGCTTCCTCTTGACACTCGGACCCGCTTCCTTTGTTTGCTCTTGGCAAACTTGGGTTATTCCTTCCTGGCTGGCAACTCTGTCTTTGGCTCCAGCCTAATCTGATGATATTTTCCCCTTCTTGGTGGTAGAGCCTCCACCACTTTCCTTGGCATGCCTCCTCGAGGCTTCTCTTCTTCATCCGATTCATGAAGAACAATCAAGTTGCTCCCCTGGTCTTGTGGAATTTCCTTCTCGAATTGGATGACTGATAACATTTTGGCTTTTTGCTTGTTAGCCCTTATTGTTGGTACTAAGCAAGTTTGGTTGTCTTCCATGATGCACATGCTACTGGCGAAGGGCATTGGGAATGTTCTTGCTTGATCCAAGAAGTTCATCCGTAGGACAATTTAAAAATCATCCATTGGTATAACAAAGAAGTCTAAGATACCCGACCACGTTTTAATGTTGGTCTTACTCTTCTGACTAATCAATGGATTTACTTTACCGTTGAGTTGACTATCTTGATGGAGCCTCCTCTTTTAGTCATCTGCAAAGCCAACATCTATGCGTCCTTGGCGGAGATGAAGTTATGGGAAGCACCTGTGTCCACCATTGCCCTTGTGGCCTTCCCGCCTATTAGCATCTCTACAAAGAGAAACCCTTTCGCTTAGAGTTTTGTTGGAGCTTGTATCCCATTTAACAATTGTATAACCCCAACATGTGCCGCCATATCGCTTCCTCTTCCTCTTCATGGCTTGCTAGGAGAGAGTTTAGAACCTTCTTCTGAAGGGTAATCCCTTACCCAATGAGGTCCTCTACAAAGAAAGTGGTTGTTATGTAATTTGACTTTGTCATTTCTAGGCTTCCATTTGTCTTTCGCCTTGGATGTAGTCAATTCGTGGCGAGTCTCCTCTTTATGTTGATTATTGTCTTCCCCCTCTTTGAAATGGATACCCTTCTTATCTTTTGGTTTTGTAAACTCTTTTGTATAGTCGACCAAGCTTTCTGCAACGACGATGACAATAGCGAGATCTTGTGCTCCACGCCTCCTAAGCTCAGTTTTCTCCAATTGTTGGAATCCATCCATGAAGTTGACTAAAACAACATTGTCTAACATGTCGGGAATTTCAAGAACCAAGTTTGCGAACTCTTAATGTACTCCCGAATCGAACCCTCTTGCTTGAACCTTTGCAATCGGGCTCTCGCCTCATCCTCTGCGTTCTCAAGATAGAATTGCCTCTTTAACTCTGTCTTGAAGTCATCAAAGGTAGATATGGTGCACATACCTTTCTCAATATCTTCACGCCTTTTTCTCCACCATAACATAGCAATGTCTGAAAGATACAGAGTAGCAAATTGTATTCTTGATTATCATTTGTAATCCTCGTTGCTCCAAAATATTGCTCCAGTCCCCATAAGTTGTCAACTTTGTTTGTGTTGCAAGCTCCACCAAAACTCTTTGGTTTTGGAACTTTGATCCTCTTGGCTTCGAAAGTATGATGGTTGGTGGGTGTCTCTAGTGCCCTCTTGCATAGCGAGATATCCTCACGCATTTCCTCCAAACTAGCACGTATGTCGCTCATATCTTCTTCACGGGCTTTTCGTACTTCTTGGAGCTCCTCTATCAAGTTCTCTCGCATCTTAGTCATTTGGTCCCTCAAGGAATCTTCTAATTGGAGCAACATACCTCTGATCGTCGAATGTATGGTGATATCCTCCTCCTCGAGTCCATCCACCTTTTAGCCCTTTGTCTGGGGCCTCCACACAACTAGAGATTATCAAAACCTCACACCAGTACTAGGAAACTGCTCATGAAAATATTCATCAAAACTTGCAAAACACTAAAAAAATCCACATCCAACAGCCCACGTACAAAAATAGAGAGAAATATCTACACCCCACAATCAAATGCAAGCAGAAAACATAAATACAAATGCAGGCAGAACCATATAAGACAATTTGTGGGTAAAATTTTAAGTAAAAAATAAGCAAGACACCCTATTTCCAGCCCAGTATGGTGTGTATTTATGTATTTAAGTAATGCAGCAATAAAAAAAAAAAACATATAAAAAGAAACAATTAAGCCAAATATATTTCTGTAGTGCATTAGTGCAGAAACAGCCTACAATGTACCTGACTCGATTGTGAAGTTTACTCCCACGAATCTGCAGGAAGTAAAAAAATAAACATCGGTATTTGTCTGCATAAAAAATTATATAAAATTTAACCATAAAATATATGGCAAAGTGTGACTACATAAAGATTCAGATCAGCATGGAATCATAAAAAAGTTGGAACCCCGATTCTAGGAAGTTTGCTTGAGTGTTAAACTGTGTAGCATGATGCTAATAACAGCGTACGTGAAGTTTCTAGATTTACTTTCTCAAGCCAAAAAAAAAATGTATTAATATGAAATCATAAGATTATCTAACAATTATTTCATTTATTTTGATTGAATTTCAAAATCACCGGGTTTAGAGATGTAACTATGGGTGATCACATTATTTAAAGGTGTGAACGCTTTAGATATCTCGGGTCTATTGATCAAAGTGATGGTGACATAGATGGGGATATTATTAGTAGAATTCAAGTTGGTTGGATGAAGTGGAGGAATGCTTTGGCCTATTGTGTGATAGAAAAGTATCGCTTAGACTGAAAGGAAAATTTATAAGATGGTGGTGACATCTGCAATGCTCTATGGCGTTGAATGTTGGCCTTTAAAAGAGAAGCATAAAACTAAGTTAAGAGTGTGTTTGGGGCAGCTTGTGCTTATCCAAATAAGTAGCTTATCCTGAAATGCGGCTTGCATGTGGTCAGCAGGGTTCGACCCGCGACCTGCGTTTAGTGTAAACGCCCAGCCGCGTGTTCGGGCCGCGTTTTCGGATAAGCTACCGAAACGTGTTTTCCAAATTGTGAAGCGACGTTTTGAGAACGCCGCCCGCACTTATAAGCTGCCCCAAACGAGCCCTAAGTGTTGCTGAAATGAGAATGCTTAGGTGGATGAGTGGCTTTACACTTTAGAGAAAAAATACGAAATGAATATATTCGTTATAGGGTTGGTGTAGCTCCAGTGGCGGGCAAAATTAGAGAGAGGCGAGAGAGACGTCTTAGATGGTTTGGTCACATTAAACGTCGACCATCTGATGATCCAATTAGGAAGTAGATGCTTTAGGTTTAACTTATGTCAAGAAAGCCAGAGGTAGAACTAGAAAGACTTGGGCATATTGTATAAAAAAATGATCTTTAAAAAAATGAAAATGATCTTAATTTATTAGAATTAAATGAAAATATGACACTCAATAGAACACAATACAGAAAAAGGATTCATGTAGCTGACCCCACTAAGTGGGGATAAAGGTTTGTTGTTGTTGTTGTTGTTGTTCAAAATCACCGGGTTTCATTTGACAGTGCTACAATTTTGTTTTGTTGTGTACTTCGATCTGAAATTACAACTGCTCCCATAAAGATGAATAAGACAATTTGGAAGAGTTTTGCCCATGGTATTAAAGCCATGGATGCAACATGGTGCTCTATTCACACATTTTCGCACAAATAATAATTTGTAATATGCCAAGTTTTTCAAAAGCAAAGCTATGAAAAGCACGGTTTAGTGAAGCATAAATGCATGGTTTGTAAAGCATACAAAAGCAAACCTAGGTTTTAAAATATTAGGAGAGTTGGTTTGAGCAAATGGATTGAGTTCAAAGGCAATTAAAAATATCTTTGACCCGTCAAGTGTTAATACAATTCATAGCTCATTAGTAAATGAGTTAAATTGTCACAATGTATATCATACAACTACAACTCGAGTGCTTCACTTACAGCTTATACAAATACAAGAAAAATTCAATCTCTTGCAACTAATACACTCTTAGGGTTTCTTTAAAGATCAAAAGATGTAATTGAAGCATATTTTTTATCATATATTACATAGATTATAGTTTGACATACAATTACTTCCTCGAATGTGTTCTATAAAAACTAGTCCTTGCGCGCAAAAACTAAATAACCTAAAATAAAAAATCCATGATTTATCCATATATTCAGGTTGATTGGATCTTCTATTCTTATGATAGTGAGTTTCTAAGTTATAATTTGGTACATTGCAAACAAATATCAATACCATCATGCAAGCGAGAGGGAGGGAGGGAGGGAGGGAGGGAGATCAAATCTTGGGCATTGACGAAGGCAATAGCTAAGGGCGTTCTACAACATAATGAATTAGAAGTGGGTTGGCAAGCTATGCATCAAATCACTGTTTTACTGTGTATGGAGGTTATAGGTTGGATCATTAACTAGTGCTACCTAGGATGTGGTCCTTTAATCACCCTTAAGGCCGATGAAGGAAAGGAAGCAACAAAGTGTATTGCAATGCATTAGACCAGGTTTCCCAAGTTTGCAAAAGTGCCCCTAAATAACAGTATAAATTTGATGGTTAAAGGTCCTCGGAATCATACCCTTTCTATCCACCTAATAATCAATTTAATTCCAAAATAAATAGGGAATTAATTGGTCAACATTAAAACACGTCTTTAGTCATGTTCGGGACAGGTTATCATGTAGGCTAAACATTCGACGCAATTTAAATGAATAGTTCAGTATGGAAATACAGTCCTAATAATGCCAGCAAATATAATTCATTAAAATTGCAAAAATAATTAATAACATAAAGTTCCCTCAAATTAGCTAGAAGTTATTAATACTTGTCCACTAGGTTATTAGTCATTAAAAAATTAAAATCTAGCCATGTGCATTAATGCATTCAGCTTACTTCAATATTTAGGAGTGCATTAAGGCCATCTTCTAGTGAACCCAAAAAGAATGCATCCTGGAAACAAAAAAGCAAAGGGAGGAAAAATAACTATAAACACTGTATTCTTATAAGAATAAAGTAAAAAAGGGAAATAAAATGCATTAGTTCTAACCCACCAATGCACACGGCACTCCACATATGAGAAACCTGATATCTATATGTTCATCATATATTTTAAGGGGCGGAAATTCATCTGTCGGGCTTTCATCTTCAATCATTTCTCTCTCAGGAGGTGCGATATCAATCTTGGGAGCATCCCCCAAAAGACGAGGCCCGAGCTTACTACTGCTTTTTTGGTTGTTATCAGGTAACACATAGTTGTTTCTAACACAGTAAAGCCGAAATGAAGCGTTTGCAAGTTGAAAAGCATCCCATGCATGGCAACAAGAACTGCAAAACAAAATGCCAACTTAAAACAAATGGAGATTCACGGAATCACATTAATAAAATAATTTCAGAAAAAAGGAACACCTTTGTACAACTGATAGTAGTGCTTGGCGAAAGTTGGAAGCGGTGTAAGATGAAAATGCATTCTTCCAATATATCACATATGGAACCCCCTGGAAGAAGGAAAAAAATAGCGTCTTGTGATATATTTTTCCTAGAAAATAATATTATGGATGAGTTGATTATGTATTCTTCCTGCATATTACATAAAAATTTCCAAGGAAAAAAAATGCATTGGTTTGTTAGGTAAAATCCTACCACAAGGTAACAATAGACTATCATAGCAATAAGATATTCAAAATTCACAAAAAAGACATAGTCAAAGCTTATAAGAGAAATACTGCCAGTTCATTTCCCAAACATGTGAACATGCACAAAAATGGATGCAAAAAAGAGAAAAAAAAAACATAGAGACTTTTAACTGAAAAAACAAACCAGGTAGTTTTGTGTTACAGAAGAAATACAGGGATCTTAAACAATTTGGCCTTGTCTGAGATTTATTTTTTCTTGTTTTTTTTATTTTTAAAAATAATTTAACACATTTTTTAAAGCACTCAAAATAACTAGGTGTTTTGAGTGTTTTTAAAAACAATCGTACTTTAACTAAATAGCCAAAAATGTTTAGTTTCAAATCAAAAAATAAATAAAATAAAATAAAAACAAAGAATTGAAAATAAAAAAGAAAAGTGATCCCAAAAGGCACCTTAGGCCCACTTTGGGATACTTTTTGTTTTTTATCTTTTGTTTTTATTTTTTTTTTGTTTATATTCTATGTAAATCAAAGCAGTACAGTAGTTCTTTTTAAAAACACTCAAAATATGATTTGCTTTTCAAAATAAAAAAAAAAATAAAACACATGTAAACAATATAGTAAAAAAAAAATGTTTCCAAAAACAAAAGTAAAAAAAAAAAAAACATAAGTAATGCCAGACGGGCCCTTAAAGACTAATTCACATCGACTTTCAGCTCTCTGTTTTGTGCTTGTTTTGCATGCATATGTTTCAAAGACAAGTGACAGATTCATTTTGTTGCACAAGAGAATTAGAAGACAAAGTGAAAAAAGTGATAGAAGAACGATATAAAAATAGAAGCCAAACAGGTTTTATGACCTTTATGTAATATAAAAATATATAGAGCGCCGCGTACTCATATCAGTTGGTCGGGCATCTGCTTGTCAGTTGTAAGTCCCCTCTGGTCTGGGGTTCGAATCTTCATGAGTGTAAGGTGTGGTATTCGAATTCGTAGGCGCATGAGGGATCACTGGGGCTCATATAATAGCCCCTAGTCATTCCTTTTTATTTATAAATATATATATGTAGATAGATATATAGAATCTGCAGCATACTTCTTATCTAATATGTTCTTCAACAACATAGAGTTGGTTCTCTTTGGCTCTTATAAATAATTAAGAAATTCATGGTAGACTAATGAACAACGCATCAAAGCAGCATTCAATCATGGTTGTTAAGAAACCTCAAATATTTACCTTAGAATGAATAGCCTGGGCAATCTTTTCACTGTTTGGGACCTCCAAATAAACCTGCATCAAAGACAAATAAATTGAAATAAAAAAGAAACTCAGTGTACCCCGTACTAATAACCTCACAATTCACAGACATTATTGAACAGACAGGCTTCCATATTCATGCTTTCCTTCATGCATTCATCAAAAAGCTAAAGTAAACTATGCCAATGCTTGCATAGCAATTAGAAAGAAGATTATGTTGCGGAGTTTGGAAATTTGACGTTGTTCATTAAAATCATAGAGAAATAGAGAACCCATTCATTATCCCAACGTTAAACAAACTTAATTACCATTAACAACTTTCAAAGAATATGGAAGCCTACCATTCAAGGACAGAGGAAAACCAAAAAATTCCAAAATTTTGTAGCTTACAATGATTGGTAATGGAGGAGAGAGAAGCGAGCTCAAGGTCTGGGGTTCTGATACATCAGTAGTTTCCCAGACAATCGAGCCAATCTCTTCCTCATTTTCAAGTTGCTCCCCTTGAAAGAACAATATACTGGGTTCCAAAGCTCTCTGAGTCGCTCGAAAGTTATCAAAGGTAGGGTTGGTTAGTGTATGAACCTGCATTCAGGCACCAGAAAGATTACTATCAAAGCAAAGTAAAATTGGCATTTGGTAATTTATAATACTAATATAAGTAAACAAAATAACAAGGCAAATCTAAAACCCATATACGTTTGTTCAGGTAAAAAAAACAGAAAAAGGCTTAAACTTAACCTCCAGGCGGCCAGCAGAAACAAGCTCTGGAAAGGGATAAGAAGCCCTACGCCTGGCCTCCGCCTTCTGTCTACCTACAAACTTCCCGCATAACACTGCGAGGAGCGTGCAGTGTTGCTTCACGAAACCTTGCGAATGAGACATTGTGAAGAGAAGCACAGAGTGCTATCTCATCCCTTCCGTCTTCGCACACATCAACCCACCAAATCAGCTAAGAATTTCACAGCAATCACCATCAACTGCGCCAAAATTTATCAAATGAGAAATCGAAGGCACATAGGTTTCTGAAAACTAACCAAAATCCTATAAAACTCGAGTCAAGCACACCCTAAGAAATCGAGCATGTCGGATCAAATAAAACGCCACAAATCGGCAGATAATACTTACCCATATGATGAAAGACGACGACTCGACGATTGCGGTGCGCGAAACAGGGGAAATCAGCGAACAGCACGGCGAAATCCACAAAACAAAACCACCACAAGAGCTCCCCGTACACGGAAACCGCCGCCCAGATGAGGGGTGGGAAATAGGAAAAGAGTAAAGTAGAAAACAGGGGGAAACAAACCCTAGCGTAGACCTACCTCCCCTTAAGAAGAATCACAAAAATCTAACAAAAAAATATACATTAAAGGGCAGACAACTGCATCAATTGAGCCCATCAGGCTTTCTCGGCTTACACGCGTATAGTCAAAACAAAATCAAAAAAGGGCAAATGATTAGCATTATAAAACCAACCAAAATTTACACAAATTAAAAATTAAAAAAAGAAAAACCTATCGATTGACGAAACCAAAATTAAAAACCAACCCCAAACAAAACAAAAAGGAAAACCTTAAAGAATCCGTAACTCCGAAAATCATTTAAAAAGGCAGGCACCACGAGATTCGGGGAGCTCTGATTAGAAAGAGACTAAAACACCATCAAATCCAAAACATAAAAAAAATTACCAAAATTCAAATTATGAAAAAAACACCAAAAATACCGAAGTGCTGACGATCCGTCACTGTGCGGAGCGCGAACAGACAACTTAAAACAACGAATTTAATAGAAATGGAATTTTAATGGCGGGTGGGGGAGGTCAAATCCTTTAAAAAAAAAAAAACCTGAAACTCGGCTTCGTTTCTTTTTGAGTTTTTGATTCGGGGGTTTGGATTTTTTTCTTTTTTCGGGCGTATTCTTTTCTTCCGTGCTGCTTTTGCTGATCCGATTCATTGCGCCAGTAGACTTAATGCACGAAGCCCGATCTCCGCTCCCTCACTCAATCCGCTGTAGCCTCGCGATCTCGTGGTTTCTCTCTCTAGATCGGTCTATGAGATTTGATGCGGGATTTTAAATTCGGGGGGGCGTCGATCGATCGAGATTGATCGCGGTAAAAAGCCGGTGTTCGTGGGTTTTGTTTTTCGGCCAGGTGGGGGACCACTTGAACAGTAGGGCTGGGTCCACCTTCCACTAATGAAATATGCGTCGTGACTTGAAATCTGACTTCTCAATTTTCGTGTTTTTTATTTGTTGATTAATGATTGTAAATTTGTAATGTTGATAAAAATTCAATCTTTTTAAGTCAGTGGTTTGATTATTTCGTGGTGAGAAAATAAATTTATTGTTTAATAAATCATTATCAAATATATGTGATTGGAAAATAAAAGGGGGCAATTATAAATATGACATTCAAAATATTATTATTTATAAATTTAGCGCTCTCTTTCATCTATTTTTTCGAATTCTCCCTCGAATATTATCATTCATGATATAGTCTTAACCGATAATTTTCATTTTTTATCGATGCATGTATAAATACATTGATTCAGTAGTTCAAACATATGATACAGGTGCTAGATTTTGTAAGTAGTAATATTTTGAGTGATGTGTATATAATTGTTTCTAGAAAAAGAATTATTAAATAGGGTTTTGATATAAAATTTGATTTTTAAAATATAAAAAATATTTGAATCAAACTATTAAGAAATAATTTTAAAATCATTTAAATTTTTTCTTCAAAATCAAATACTCAAAAAAATATAATTAAAAGTTCTTTGAGATTATTTAAACATCCGATATATTCTCGCATTTGGAGTTGTGATGTCTTCTACATTGCTCAATTTTTAGTATATTTGGTATTATGAAATCTAAAGAAGAAGAAATTATAAAGGGAAGGTTCATTTAAGCTTTTTACAACATTCCAATGATTCATCTTGAAATAGTTGGATTGCTCGTTGAAAATCTAAAACTACTTCGTAGCTTCACATTTGAAGAAGTGCACAAATTACAAAATTCTCAGGCATTTAGAATTTGAAAGTTTTGATCATCATTTGGAACATTAATCAACATATTTAGAATATTTAGACTTTTCCTTCACCCTTCTTGCTTTCCCAATTTACCTCCCTATGAGAAGCGAAGTGCATCGACAACCTGTTGGTACCTAATTTTCAATGATATTTAGTCATCACCGACTATGTTACTTGAAACTTACATTTGGCAATCAATGTTAACAGTACAATCATTGTCAAGAAACTTTTAAATGAAACTATTAAAGCCCTTAAGAAAATGTGATTTTAAATATTCTGAGATTGCGCACAAAAAATTTGCTTTAGGACTTCTTTCTAGAAATTTTCATTCTCTTTGATAATAATGATTGAACGTTGTAAAATTTCTTGGGAGAATTTTGAACATTAGCTTTAATAAAATTAAGGATTCGAACATATTATAATTCATTGAAGGAATGTGTCATTCATCAACAAATTAATCAAGCATATACATTAGCAACAAACAAAAGTTCATTAAATTTACTCCATTAAATATATCCTTAGCTCATCTTCTAGGAGCAAAATTGGCTATAATGGTTGAATGATTTATGTAAAACTATCATTGAATCTTCTAACACATAAAAATATAATAATTCTCCCTTCTCAATCCTATTATGATCGCAATATACATACTTTTGGTACTATTATTCCTCATTTTATGAATATCTTCAGGTGTCTCACCTCAAAATTGATGCTAACCATCGAATCAAACAATTTGAAATCATTGTGACTATTTCTCTTATTATGGGATTGTTTTCACCGCGCCAAAAAGTAATTCAAGTGTATATCTTTCCTTACTCTCTTTTATAAATTTAGAATGCACAGTCTTTTCTCATTTTTTCAAGATAACAAGGTAATAAAATTCACATTTTTAATGATATAAGTTTACATGCAATGCTTGTTGATTCGATTGATCTGACTATAAGCATTTCTGATTTGAAATACGTTTGATCTTCTAATTATGCACTAAAAGTGGTTTAATAGCTCGATATCAGATTGATTTGACTTGAATTGGACCAATTTTTGTTATCATTGTGTTCGACTCATCTAGTTGGTCAGTTTGACAATAAGTTTATTTAAACTTTTAATCAAAGTTTGAGTGTTTCTTACTAAAAAAATTCCTCAAGTTTTGTGCCTTTCGTCGAGATTTATGAGAAATGGTGGAAAATTGTTGATGGTGAATCAATTGAATTGTCAATAAAAAAACATTTGATCATGAAAGAATGTTAATGCAAGTTACAACAACAACAACAATATGCCTTTATCTTGATAAGTGAGATCGGCTACATAATCATTTTTCTGTATTATTCCTACTAAGTGTCATATTTTCATTTAATTATAATAAATTAAGATTATTTTTATATAATATGCCCATTTTTTTTAGTCTAACTCTACCTTTCTTAACATAAGACAATTCTAAAACATCTACTCTCCTAACCTAATCATTAGATGGTCAGTATTTAATGTGACCAAATCATCTGAGATGACACTTTCTAATCTTGTCTACCACTGGAGATACACCAATCTTTCACGGATACATGCATTTTACATTTTATCTCTAAGTGTTAAGCCACTCGTACACCTAAGCATTCTTATCTCAGTAACACTTGACTTAGTTTTATGCTTCTTTTAAAGGCTAACATTCAGTGTCATAAAAGCGTTGCTGATCTCACCATCATCTTATAAAAATTTCCTTTAAGTCTAAGCGATACTTTTTCAACACATAATAGGCTCGATGCATTCCTCCACTTCAAACAATGAACTTGAATTCTACTAATAACATCACCATCTATATCACCATCACTTTGAACAATAGACCTGAGATATGTAAAATGTTCACTTCTTTTATTGATATGATCACTCATAGTTACATCTCTACTACTAGATCTACTACCACTAAAATTACGTTCCATGTATTCAGTTTTAGAACAAATCAAACGAAGGCCTTTGGACGCTAATGTTGACCTCCATAATTCAAGTTTTTTCTACTCTCTCTCTAGTCTTATCTGCAAGAAGGATAACATTACCAAAAAGCATACACCAAGATACAACTTCCTGTAAATGTGCAGTAAGAGCATCCTTAGCTAAAACAAAATGATATGGCCTTAAAGCTAATTCTCAATGTGCTCCAACTGAAATAGGAAGTACTTGTTCAATCCTTCTTTTGTTCAAACAAAATTAACAACTCTAGTATACATATCCATATCTTTAATGACTTCTTTAATGACTTTACTGTAAGTCATATCAACACCATTATTTTCTGCAACTATCCAAAGAACTTCTCTTGGAACCTCATCATAAGCTTTTCTAAGTCAATAAAAATCATATGTTGATTCTCCCTACTCTCTTTATACTTCTCCATCAAGCCTCTTAAATGCACATTAGATAAAAAAATCAAAAGTAAAATTCAGACTAATTCTAGCACTTTTTTAAGTAGCTTTATAGCCAAATTGAATATCTCAATAATAACTAAGAAGCCAAATACATTAAAAGCAATTTAATACAATCCCAAATGAGCTTTGACCAAACACTTGAAGTATGATTGAAAGCTTTAAAACAATAATTGAAAAATTAAATGATAACCAAAATTGGCACACTTGCAGTCAAATTAAGCTTCTCAACAAAAGAAATTCAACATGCTCAAGATAACACAATTATGTGGCCATTAAGACATTTTAATGATTAAAGAATGATAAAAGAGATTGAGACAAACTGTCTAATGGAGTATTTTTGTGATTTGGTCAAATTTATTAGAAAAACACATACCAAAACTCTATAAATAATATTCCAAAGAAAGCTTAAAGCTAGCAATCACCAACAATTGTCGCCAATTATCATTAATGAATATTGTACCCCAACTATGATCATAAGACTGATGTAGCCAAACTATGTTCATAATTTGTTCTCTAGTTTTTATAATTTAATCAAAAGTCTATTACCTTATCTTCTCAAAAAAAATAATTATAATAACTTCAATTAGTTGAAATATATTGCAGGCCATATTGACTGAGCCGCCCCTTTTATCTTTTATCACTCTATTGACGTGCATTTTTAGCATGCAACAATCACACATAAGAAAAGTTAAGCTATTTAATTTTTTAGTTGCTTAAAAAAAACAAAAACACTTTTCATGCATATTAATCACAATTTCACATTAAAACGAGGACAATCAAAACCAATTTAATCATAAATATTAATTGAAATATAATTAATCAAAAGCGAAACATTTAAAAAAACTTTTTAATTACCTCAATTTATATTAAATTGATATTTTTGATTCCGTATAATAAAATAATAAATAATATTATTATAATATTATTCTTTCTTATCATTTCATAAAATCTATTTATCCTTCACTTGTCTATATAAAGGAATATGTTGTGCCTTGCGATAAATCTCTTTCAATAATAACAATTACGAATATTTTTATGCGTGACACACAATTCTTAAGTATTTACATATCTCACACTTTTATACTTAAGTATATAGCATTTTGGTATTTTAAAATTATATATATAATAAATTTTGGTGCGCCAGCCATCCCAGACATTCAGGATGGCTATCATACCGATAACATCTGATATCAGCAGACAATATATAATATTCACGACACTGGTCAGAGAGAAGTCAATAATATAGTTCTTAATGTCCTACTAATCTTATTTTATTTTTTTTACCTCATGTATAAAAGGGCGGACAAGAGGGAAGAGGGGGGACTCTTGCTCTCTCTCATTTCTTCTTCATCGGCTCTCGTCTCTAAGGAGCCTTAGCTCTCTCTC